GCTGCCCGCCTCGCCCGGGGAAGGCAAGGATGCGGCGCGGAGGAGCTCAGGGTGTGCACAGCGCGTCAGGAGACATGGGACACGGGCGGCTGATTTCACCTACCAACTTGTTCCTGAGTTACTGTCACCGTCGGGAGAGACGAGATCTTCTCCTTGTCGGCCGGAGGTGGTCCCGTGTTTTCCAGCTGCCCCAGGAGCTGCGGGGAAGAGAACAAGGCCGGGCTCAGCGCATTCCTGTGCCCAACCCCTCCGTCCCCGTCCGTCCAGCGCACAGGTTCCCTCCTTGGCAGCGCCACCTCTGCTGTTCAAACCCTTCCGTGCCTCCAGCCCTGGCCAACCCCCCTTCTAACATCATTGCCCTCCAGCCCTTTTCTCTTGCGTCAGCAGTTGGGAGACTGAATCACAGAATCACAAGGGTGGGAAGGGGCCTCGGGAGCTCCCCCAGTGCCAACCCCTGCCCAAGCAGGCTCACCCAGAGCAGGGGGCACAGGACAGTGTCCAGGCAGGGGTTGAAGATCTCCAGAGAAGGAGACTCCACAGCCCCCCTGGGCAGCCTGGGCCAGGGCTCGGGTACTTTCAGACTAAAGAAGTTTTTCCCCATATTCAGCTGAAACCTCTTGTGCTTCAGTTTGTACCCACTGCCCCTTGTCCTGGCGCTGGGCACCCCTGCAAAGAGCCTGGCTCCATCCTCGTGACCCCCACCCTTGAGATATTTGTATATCTTAAGGGCCTGGGTGGGAAGGGAGACATCACCACGGACAGGGGAGAGGGGGCTCAGCTGCTCCTGAGGGGTTTGAGCCAAAGGGGAGTTGGCAGAGACGTTCTGAGAAGAGGAAGAACCTCGTCTTGCAGCAGCAAGGGCGACCTGGGTGTCGGGAGGACAGGGGAGACCTCCCAGAGCTGTCAGGAGAAGCTGCTGTAGTCGAGCGGCACCGCCAAGCCAAGGAGCGGCCGTCCCAAACCTGCACTCCTGTGGGTCCGTACCTCCCACCCGGAGCTCCAATGTTCATCAGGAGCCTCC